GAAGATCATTTGCTTCTGTGATGGTATGTCTTTATTTAAGAAACCTAGAATTGCCATAAAAAAGTACGAGGATGAATCTTTCAAATAGGAGAAATAACACACATGTACCCAGCAGCTGCGGAGACTTAGGTAATGCATTTCGCATTTAAATGAATGACATGATCAATCTTAGAAATCAAATGAAAATAGATAAAAGTTCCTAATAGAATTGCCTTGTCTTAGGCATGAGTTGGCAATGCGTAAAAACTCCTAATCAGGCTTTTCCTTAGGAGAAAACTCCCTCTCATCACTTAGCTTCTTAGGGGGCTTCTTCAAGCCTGAGATTTATTAAATTTCCTGCACTGAAAGTGCTCAGCTAAGGCTTTGAAAAGTGGTTTAGATGCAAGCGTTAGAGCTGATAGAAAGGAAACAATTGTTTATTAGGAAAACAAATTTAAAATTCATCTACCCTCAGAATTACAACCTTGCCCTTTAAGAACGTTTATTAAAAATAACAGCTTCTCAAAAAAAAAAAGTAGCATTTTCCATGGGTGCTGAGAATATTGGCATGTTCATTTCCATTGTAACTGTGTTTTTAGGCATTCATATGCCTAAATGCCTTTAGGCATTCATATCTCTCTTTTGCAGATAGAATGAGACAAAGAAGTGGAGGCTGATTTTTTTTCCTCCATTGAGAATGGGTTTGATGGAAATAATTTTTCACAAGGTTTTAATTCATAAATTTTTGAATGTGGTTTTGCCTTGCTCACTGACCTAGAATCGCTGGCTGAAAGCTCAGATTTAGACATTTACATCCCTTTTTCATGATGAGTCTTTAGCATTATACTTAATTCATTGCTTCATATTTTATATTCCATGCAAAACTAGTGCTAATGCAGCATTAATACCATAGAATCAAATACTCAAAAATAGGTCGTCCTGCCAGGTTCAACACGCTTCCTTTCCTTTTCTGCCTTCTGCTTACACTGCAAATGATCTCACTAGTATAAAAATATCAGTAGTACAATAGTACATGGTATATAGTAGTATATATAATGTATAGTATAAAATACTATAAAATATCAATAGTCAAACATGGTATAGTATCATGAAATTATCACATATTATTTATCATATACAAAATGAACCAAACCTCATTCTCCTTACGCTCATTGAGACTTTCCATGAGGACAAGAAAATGTACTTTTTTAATCCTCTTCACAGTTAGAACAATTGAACAACCTTCCCCAAGAGGGAATTGCTATTGCAACTATTAAATGCAGTGGGAATGATTGCCAAGGGAACTTAGCTGGGTCTGATTCCAGCCTGAAAAGTGAATCTGTTCTATTAACTTTGACTTAGTCCTTTCTGTAGCTAATAGAGGATACAACTTTCTGCTTCTAATTTGTGAACCAAAGGACTTCAAACCCTTTTAAAAGAGAAATTCCATCTAGTTAAAATAAAGACAAAAAGAAGAAAATGCACTGACCATTATAGATACCTGAGATTTAGATTTTTTTTTTTTATGTGGAGTAATGCACATGCTGTTAAAGGAGTTGGAACAAACTTGTCCAGGACAGTTTTATCTATTTGATATATTTACATTGAATCAATATATTTTTTGAGGCTAACATACTTGCAAACTATTGTCATATTAATCACTGAAGGGGGGAGGTGATACTGTCCTCGTGTCCAGAGTCCATACATTGGTGCCAGAAGAGGTGCTGGGGAGGAGATGGCCCAGGAGCATCGCATGGCAGTGCGCTTACGGGATGCCCCGCTTACCTGAGACGGCCGGAGGGCTCCGTGGTTGACTTTGCAGCTCCAGGGCTGCTGTCCCTGGGCATCCCGTCCCTCTGTGCGGAGGCCGCTGCGGCGCCCTGCCTGGCTCACGGGGATAAAGTGACCAACTTTATTTTAACATGCTGGAGAATGAAGAAAAAAAAAAAAGTGGAGACCAATACATAAACAAAGTTTTAAAGGATAGAAAGGATTAACAAAGGCATCTAAAAATATGGTAATATTAATCAATAAGCAGTTCCCTAAATGGGCACTGTATAAGGCAAGCAAAAGGCAAAGAAAGCATTGATCGGCTTGCATTGAAAGCTGGTGACAGAGATTAAGTTGGCTACAGAAAGACTTAAATCATCACATATTGTTTGAGCAAGATAATACTGTCCAATCGTGGAAATGCTTTAACCATCTTTAGCAAGGCAGTGATTGTTATTCAGGACAGACAAAATATCGCAGCTGCACAAAACCCACCATTTTTTAAAAAATAACAAAAGAAAAGTTTTTAACGAAGACTAAAGTTAAACAGAATTAAACCATTCTTGCACACCTGACTTGGATCAGTTTCTTTTAATACAATCAGATACATATATTTAATTGATGAAATATCTCACTGAATTTATAGTTCATATGGATGTCAATTTTATTTGGCAGTAGAAACTTGGGAGTGGCAGTCAGGTAGATGTTAACAGTTGTTGAACTGTACAACTTTTTAACTGCAGTAGTGTGATCTCTCCTAAGGACCTATATTTTTAGAATAGGTCTTTGTGTACAATATTGGAAATGGAAGACGCATAACTCTGAGTTTACACAAACTAGTTAAAAATGAATTTAGTACAGCAGCAATGAGAATTTACCAGGCAGCTCTGGATTTTTCTACAAGCCAATAGGCCTAAAAATCTAATGGTATCAGATTTGCTGTAATATTGCCAGGATTTTCTATTCAACTGCATGCATGTTGCTATATAGATATGTAGAAATTCTAAGTTACCCGATTTTTTTTTAATAACTTTTAAATAGTGCGTACTTCTAGAATCTCAAAATTAAATGGGGGGGAAG